TTTATTTCTTTATCCTCCCCCGTAACCATCCTGTTAATATCTAAAAAAAGTAGGAAGCTCATTTAATGAGATTACCTATTAAACTAACTCATGTCGAGTTTGTACCTTGTCATGGCTGGGAATAAAGGATTAGCAATATTATTGGCTCCTAGTTGTTTGATTATGATTGTATGTGTGACATCGCACCCAGATGTACTTGAATTTGAAATTCAGTATGTATTTGAATTTTTCTAGCGAATGACTTCGTGTAAAAGAATGATATATTTAATTAAAGGATGATTAATTAAATTATTTATCGGGTCCATTACATTGATAATGGGCTAACAAATATTTAGTTGGGTTATCGTATTAATTTTAGAAACCCAATAAAATACCAACTAAGGTTGAGGAAAATGATTGGGCAACCCAGATGCTATTTTGACCCAGCCTGCGAGAAAATAGCGAGAATAATCGGAGGAAACTTCCTACACCCAATGGGTACTTTTCCTACATGTGATATACACTCTAAATAATGATATGGAGACAAAAACATAAGGGTGGGTTAGACATGAGTTGAGGTGATGCTCAAAACAAACACCCACACTCCTACGGCCCTATCTATTCATTGATTTGGGTCTTTGATTGAGTGTGGATACTTCTCCCTTGCTTCCTACTTCATACGAACAAGAGAAAGAGCTAGAGAAGGCTTGGAAGAGCTCTCACAATCATCAAAATTGAAGGGAGAAAGAAGCTACGAAAATCCACTAGAAGTAGTTGAGTTCAAGGTAAGATCCTTACTTATGTTCTTCTAACTAGTTTACGTTGTATGATTTTTTAGAAATCATATGGTGGATTAAGCATGAGGTTCTACACGTTTAAAAGTGTAGAATATTGTTATAAAGTGGTGGTATTTAACTTAGAAGAATTGTTGAATCGATAGGAGTTGAAACCACCGGAAACCGCCACTCCAAAGGAGCTGTTCGTAGTTGCAGACTACGAAAGCCGCCCGGCTTTTGGCTGCTGTCCAGAAATTCCACTTTCTATTGGTCTAAAACGGGGATTGATCGAGGGTCTTAACAAAGGCAATTATTGTAGCACATCACAAGGTGAGGATGACTGACTATATTGCTTATAATTAGTGAGTTAATTTCATAAGATTACATAAGGTATTAAAAGTGATTTTCATGGATTATTAATGAGTAATAATGCCTAAATGAAAATACTATTGATATGAGTAAGTGAAGCATGATATACAAATCTAGAATGAATTGTGTATGATTATGTGATATGAAAGGAATGACATGGTATTGGAATTAACTATGAAAATATTGTGATAAAATATACTTTTACTTCATGTATGAAATTAATGAATGGATAAAAGTGATATTTTTGATATTGAGATCAAATTATATTTGGATCAGAAAATCAATTGAAATGAAATGTCAATTGTGAATTAAGAACTTGGTATGTTCTAAGATTAACCAACTAGTATTAAAATACTAGTCGGGAGAATAGTATAATGGAATTAATCCTAAGAGATAGGATTGTGAATAAATATGCCTTAAGTAGTCTTAAGAGACACTTTAAGGTTGAATTGTATGAACACTATGGCGTGTTAGGGGTAAGCCTGAAGGCTACCCGAGTGGATTGATTCTAGGCATAGGATTTGCTTGGGAATTGGACTATGAAAATGAATTAGAGTCGGAATCTGGGATCGCATGGAAATGTAGTTGGGCCGAGCCCTTGCCATGTAATGTGATTAGCATGGAAAAGGTAGTTGGGCCGAGCCCTTGCCATGTATTTGTGATCTTCGTGGAAACGTAGTTGGGCCGAGCCCTTGCCACGAAGTTATGGTTTGTATGGAAACGTAGTTGGGCCGAGTCCTTGCCATACAATTTTAATGTGTTAAATTGAGTTGAAGGGTTGTATAGAAATGTAGTTGGGCTGAGCCCTTACTATACAATCGGGACTCGAGGGAACCCTACGGGGTGGTCGTGACTCGTTGTCACGGGGAATTAAAATGGTGAATTCTAAATGAATATGGGCCCACGGGCCGACTACTTGACCTTATATAAAGTAAGTATGTTATTTTAAAAGGGGTAATCGGGGGGGGGGGGGGGGGGGTTATGGCCTATATATATGTATGTATGTATGTATGTATGTATGTATATGTATGTATATATATATATATATATATATATATATATCACCCTAGATTGAGGGTCTTATAAATTTAAACATTGATTATACTTAGTATAGTTGTTATTGTACTTGTCAAATGCTTCCAAGTACTGACCTTCCCTTCACGGGGGAGGCCACCTCACAGTTTCAGGTAGAACTTGAAGGTTGTTGCCACCGCCCGTTGCTTCGGGAAGATCAAAGGAAGAAGACGTGGTTCGTGCTTCTTCCGTTTCTGTTTTGAAAACAATTTTAAATAATGCTCATGGATATTATTTTGAATAATTATTTGGGGCTTGTATGCCTAAGTTTGCCAATTGTGGCTTAACTCTTGTATTAAATGTTTCCGCTGCTTTAATGAATGTTTTTACATTATGTTTGTTTATGGATGTACTATATGTGAATGATATTCTAGACGCCTTGTGTAGTATGGATGTGTTGAACTGCGGTTGACTATTCGTACTGTACGTCGGGTTGTTGACGTGTCCGGATAGGTCCGGGACGTGACCGTATGTTTGTTCATTATGAGAATACTCTGCTTCTCCTATATATACACACATTCAAGTGAATGTTTAAGCAATATATCTTGCATCATTTTTTTGTGTGAATCAGATATATCACGATTCACACACACACACCTTGAGTGAATCATCAAATGCCGTCTATATGAACTCAAGTGAAATGGTTTTTTTTCTGGGTGACATATATGTGATAAAGTTTGATTAATGGAGTTGGTTGAGACTGAAAATTGGTTCATGAAGTAGTTTTGTTCTTTCCTAGTCTGGAGTATCTTTGAGAAAATTAGAAGGTTTCGTACTAGCATTTATTCCCAAACTAAACTTATCATGACATTTTTTCAACATCTAACCAATGAACTATTACTAAGTTTTGAGACAAAATAATTGTTTTGTATGGTGCTAATGAGAATAGAATCTGCATGGTATTCATTCAACAATTTTTTTGAAGGATTGAAATTTCAATCAATGGAACTCATGAGAAATTGTCATCCACCTCCCTCTCATATACAATGGTAGCGACTTTTGAGAAATTGGTGACTGCCCACAAACAATAATGATATTCTTGCAAAGGAGTGTGTTGTGCTATTCAGCAAAGGAGGTTGTTGTGTTATTCTGCAAAGGGGTCAACAACAACTCTTCCAAAGCTAAATAAAAAGAATCAAAGGGAAACTATACAATAGTTATATATCTAACAAATTGATATCATACGTTGAATAATGAATTTGTAGTGATACTTTTATATGTATATTTGTTTCTTTTTGTTGCATCGCAGGTGTTCCATTTTATTGCGTAATGTTTCTTTTTGTTATATCTTGTTGCACCATGTTTCTTATTGTTGTTTATTATTGATTTTAATTTTTGTTATTCATTTAGGTGTACATTTATCTTTGTTACTGGTTCTAAATAAAAAAAACATATGTGAGTGTGGGTGTGTACACCTAAAATAATAAATTTAGGTTTATGAATGTTAACAACTAGAAACATGAAAAAATAATAAAGAAACAAAACTTTCAAAGTTATAAACTAAAAGGAACAAAAAGCAACAATAAAGATGATAATAATAAAAATTGACATTTACCTACTTTTAAAAAACTGGAAATTCATTATTTTTTTTTTCAATTTTTTATATATTTATACTTGAATTTTACAAGTTGTATTTTCTATTTCTGGCTTACATTAAATAGTTTAATTTTAATTTTTTAATATGTTCAAATTTATATATCTAATTTGTTTTGTTTTATTTATATTACAATTTTAAAATATTTACTCTTTCACAAAAAATTAAAATAAATTATTTAAATTTTATTCACATTTTTTACTACTAATGCAAATTTTTCATTTTCATTTTTTAAACAGGTTTTTTTTCAACGTTGATATGTTTTCTATCATTTTTTTATTTTATACTTTATTCCTGACTTCATAACCTTTTTTTTAGTTTTAGTCTTGCTAGTTATTAAAAAAATCTTAATTTTATATAATTAGTAATTTGTAAAATAAATTTATTTTATATATTTTATTTTTATTTGTAAATTTTTCAATATTTATAATCATTATTTGAATTTTTTTATTTCGAAGTTAAAAATTGTAAACATCTTTGTTTCTAAATTTAATCTTTATTAGCTTTATATGATTTTCTAATTATTTTCATATTCCAAACTTTTAATTAATTTCTTATTTTTTGTACTTGAAAACAAACGTCATGTAATCCCTGCACTTTGAAGTTTGGATTAGTTTATCAAAGAGGGATCAGTGCTTTAGAATTTTACATGCACTTTTACGGAGAAGATATTCATTAAGTGAGCTAGTGTATCTCATGCGAGTGGTCCATTTCTGAAAAGAAATTTCTAGTTAGTTTATTTTTGAAAAAGAATTGAAAGATGATAAAAGTGATATTGTTTTCAGTTTTGAACTTATTCGTGAAATTCTCCCTATATCTTTCCATTCAAACGTCCATGGTTCTTTTTTTCCATTCTTTCATGAGATATCCTACGAGTCAGCCTATCGAGATGTATAATTAAAATCTCCATAAATGGGCCAAGATCAAAATGGTAAAGAAGCAAGTAAATATTTTGATGGGCAAATAGATATGTTGGCTTCACAATGTCCATGTTTCTTTTTTTGCCATTCTTTAATGAGATACAAATACCCTACGAGTCGGCCCATCGAGACGTGTAATTAAAATCTCTATAAATGGGCTGAGATCAAAATGTTAAAGAAGCAAGTAAATATTTGGATGGGCAACTAGATAAAATGGCTTCACAAAGCCGGCCCATTTAATTTTTCTCGTTATATAAACGTAATATTAAACCCTACCTATACTTGCAGCCCTTCTCCCACTTCGCGTTCACAGGGAGCTTCTCACGTCTTCTGCGTCCGGCTTCAGCAGGTATTGATTTTCTATAGCCGTAGATCTAGAGAACCATGCCTTCTCTTCATTTTCAGTACCTTCCATGTTTAGAAATAGTTTGCGTTATCCGGAAGTTGTGGTGGACATGGCGATGGTTCATGGATTTGCAATACGTTCTTGATTGTAGTACTTATGTATTTATTAAGAGCCTTTGAGTCCTGATGGAAATTTTATCCAATCGAGCTCAAGGAATATTGGTTTGCTGATTATTGGTACCTAACAGTGTTTTATTCTGCTTAGTTGTATCCGGGTATGGTAAAGTATTAATCGTTTTTATATATAGGTTGAAAAATGGCTGTCCCATTGCTTGACAAAAAGATCGTGAAGAAGCGTGTCAAGAAGTTCAAGAGGCCACAAAGTGACCGATACATTTCTGTCAAGGTGTGCTTCATATCTCCTCGTGTTTATAGTCATTGTTATATCACATATTCTCATTAAGTGTTGACTAAATAACTGTGAAGATTCAATTTCTGAGTTTACAGTCATCCTACGTGGCATATTTATTACTTTCAGTCTTGTGTGTGCATTTTGATACTGGAAGTGATTAGAAATTCGGGACAGGGTGATCTTTGCCAAGAAGAAAATCATATGAAGTAGTGTTGCGCTATAGTTAGTTTTTAGTTATTGTCAACCAACTCTTAGATGCTGAGATTTTCTTCACTCAGAAATATTCATATTAACATTGTGTAAGTATTGGAGGTGAACTGAAGTTAATCTATGTATTGTTCTAGGTACAGCTTGTTTGTTTTCTGTTTTATTAAAAGACCTAGGGTTTCAAGTAAATCTAGTTTGTATCAGAAAGCTTCCAAAAAATCATCAACTCAGTATCTAAATACTCCTATAACCCAAGTTTTGGGAGGTTAAGGTTACAAGTAAATGTAATGTATTCACTTAGATTAACCCCATGTAAACAATAGTTGTCTTAACCTAATAATCATTGAAGAAATTTTTATATACAAGTTGGTGCTTCTATGTTTGCCCACTTTTAACATAACTTAGGGTCACCAGTCACTTAACTTAAACTCACCCAGTTTGCTTATAACCACTCTACCCTAAAGGACTATTTAATCCGTTTCTTGACCTATATTGAAGCCATCAACATGGAATGATATATGTCATGAAGGGCTAAATACTATTTTAAGAAGTGTTAATATCTTAACAATAATCAATAATCATTCTGTCTAGTTTCATGGTTGGTTGGTTTTTGTTTTTTTGTCAGGAAAACTGGAGGAGGCCCAAGGGTATTGATTCTCGTGTGCGTAGAAAGTTCAAGGGATGCACTCTCATGCCAAACATTGGTTATGGTTCTGACAAGAAGACCCGCCATTATCTTCCTAATGGTTTTAAAAAGTTTGTTGTGCATAATGCCAATGAGTTGGAACTTTTGATGATGCACAACAGGTTTTGATACATTATGAACTGTTTCTGTTTCAAGTCAATTGGTGTTGGAGTCATTCTTTAACTTGCGATGTGTGCTTTCTTAAATGGCAGGACTTATTGTGCAGAGATTGCACACAATGTGTCCACCAAGAAAAGGAAGGAAATAGTCGAACGTGCAGCACAGCTTGATGTTGTTGTCACCAACAAGTTGGCTAGGCTTCGTAGCCAGGAAGATGAGTGATCAACTTTTATGTAGTGTTTTCAGAGATGTGTTTTCTCAACCAAGTATTATTGTTATGTTTTTTGTGCTTTACAGGCACCTTGACCGAATGTCAAATTTTTGTTGCACTTCTTTACTATATAATAGACTTCACATCTCTTTCCCTTGCAAATGTGTCGTGATGTTTTGATCTAGCAGCCGAGTTTTTTAACCATATTTTATTGCAGTATTAACCTCTTTACCCTGTATTTTTCTACAAATAATTTAAATTGCCAACGTTTTGTTTTCTTGATTCACCCTTTCACCCTTGTTTTCTTGATTTTCATAACCCAAATAGCTCTAACTATGGTTGGACTCGGGTCGGGCCACCCGGCCCGTGGACCGGCCCGGCCCGCTACTGTGCGGGATCGGGACCGGCCCGGTTCTCGGGTCCGGGTCCGGGTCGGGCCTAGGCCCGGGGGTAGGGCGGGTCTAGGCTCGGGTCTGAATTTTGGTGAACCGGCCCGGCCGGGTCGGTCCCGGGCCAAATTGATTTTTTTTCATTTTTTTTTCATTTTTGGGCTTCCACCCGGGTTGGGCTTGATGGGTAGGACCGTAGGATGGGTTTGGGGAGGTTTGGGAGGGGGGGGGTCAGGAAAGCAAAAAAAAAAAATCCAAACCGGAGGCCCGGCCCGGACCCGGCCCGGACCTGAGTCCACCCCTAGCTCTAACAAGATCCAGTTTCGGAGAATGTGGTGTATTGCTGTAATTTTCAATACAACTATGGTTGTAGCTGCCAGCAGTCCAGACCAGCCAGTCCTTGTTTGCGAAGTACTCCTAGCCCGACCTGGATAATAATGGTGGTTGTAGAAAGACTTCTTGTATTGTGGACTTGTGGAGTGAACATTGTGAATTTGATTTCGTGTTGGACTCGGACTGGGTCCGGCCTAGGCCCAGGTAGCCACCGGGTTTGGGCTCTGTCCGGGCTGGGCCTTTTTTAATTTTTTTTTGATTGTAATACAATTTGTGATTTTTTCATGTCAGTAATTAATGTTGGTTTTCTTTTAGTCAATTTTCATTTGAAAATCAAACAGCTAGATTAATAGGTTTGCTCTGCGTTTGTCATGTTATTCATAAAGTATTCTATTTTAATTTTTAGAAGGTTTTAATAAATATTTATAGACTATGTTTGGTAGACATAAGTCTCTACCTTCTAGCTTTTGTATTGTTTAAAAAGTCTCTAAAAGCTTCTAGTAATATGTTTGACATTACAATTTTTAAGATTTTTTCAAAAATTAAAAGATCTTTTAGATGATACAGAGAGTAGCATCAGAAAAAAGCCCGTGACTTTTAGTATTAATTAGTCATAAAAGTTTGTATACCAAATCGAACTAAATCAAATAGTCAATTTTTTACCAAAAGTTCACAAAAGTATCTTTTCCGTTAGTTGTGTCAAACATATCCATAGTATTTTTAAAGTGTGAATAATTAGTTTTATATTGTATAACTCTCATATTAATCTCAAAGAATTACAAACTGATAAATTTAAAAGAATGTAGAATGTTGCTAGCAAAATAGTGAATATTACACGAATAAAAAAAATAACAATTAAAGGGATTTAAAATAAAAATGTGTCATATTTCATTTTTGCAAAAACATATGTAAGCATTGTTTATTAATATTAAATATTCTGATACGCGCTCATGAAAACCGCATATATCTTTCAACTCAAACTTTAATCGAACATTCTAAAGCCAATTCAACCATTTTGAGAGATGAAAAGAATCAAGAATGTTATATAGTGGACTAGTAGTGGAGGCTATTCAACAGTTACAAATCTAATTAAAAAACCAAAAAATGCTCTTGTTGCGTGGGATGATTCAATCCTTCAACCCACACGCCTCTAATATTCATATTCTCCCCTTCGCTATCTTTAACTTTCAATTCCGCTACCGTTCCTTCCATGTATGATTCCACCTCAATTTCTTTATCATTGACCTTCACAGCTTCAAAATCCCTTGTTGATACCGGAATAAACGGTGGCCTTGGCATTTTTATAATTGACTCCCAATCTACGCCTCTGAAAAATTTGTGGCCCTTAATTTCCTGCATGGAGATCCTCTGTTGTGGATCCTTCTCCAGAAGCTTCCCAATCAGGTCCCTCAACGCCGTCGCCTCGCCGGAAAGATCCGGCGGCTTTGACAATATTCTGTAAAACGTTTCCTTCCGGTTCGAGCCTCTGAACGGTGTCTTCCCGTACAGCATCTCGTATAGCATCACGCCTAAGCTCCACCAGTCCACCGAGAAATCGTGGCCGTTGCCTATGATGACCTCCGGCGCAACGTAATCTTCTGTTCCGACGAAGGAGTTCGTCTTCTCCACTGAGCTGGATCTGGATAAAGGACGGTCCGCCTGATGGACAATGTCCTCCGGCGAAATTCCCGAGTTACATAACATGTGGAATGGTTTGAACTTCTTCGCGTTCTTCGGCATCGGATCTGGTGAATTATCACGCGGTTTTTCAATTGGTTGACGAATTTCTGGAGTTTTTGTAGAAAGCTTTGTGGAGAGATCAAAATCGATCAGCATTATGTGTCCGTTCTCTTGAATCATCACGTTTTCCGGCTTCAAATCTCTGTAGACTATTCCTAATCCGTGAAGATACTCCAATGCGAGTACCAATTCCGCGGCGTAAAATCTGAAATAACCTAAGCGGAATTCTAGTCATTATTAAAAAAAGTTATCTTCAAAATCCAAAGCTAATGAAATTTACAATAAAAGACTAACCGGATAATATCGTCAGAGAACATTTTCTCCGTTTGCTTGTTTCTGAGAGCATTGAGATCGCCTCCGGAGCAATAATCAATAACATAACCAACGATTTTTTCAGTGGACACCACTCCGTGCAGTTTAGGAAGAAGAGGGTGCTGAAACGACCTCAAAACGTTTCGTTCGAACCAGATTCGTCTGTAGTCGCTGCCATCAGTTTTAGCCTTGTTCCTCTTGACCGAAGCTCTTGAGATGGCCTTGAGAGCTAGCAATTCGCCGTCTTCTTCCGCCTGAACTAAAAACACGAAGCCTTTGGCGCCGCGACCGAGAGCGGAAATGGCCTTGAGATCTTTCAGGTGAAGAGGAGGCAGCGTTTGTTCTTGGTGGTATTCGTCCGTCATGCCGGCGGCGGCGTCGAACAGAGTGTCGGAGTTTGTTAGTTGCCTGTGGAGGTGATTTATACGGACGGTAGTATACGTGATGTTAACGCGAAACAGAATGGCCTCTGTTGAATAGAGAATGTTGTTGGGAAGTAACAGAATTCTAGTCGTCGAAGTTTGGAATTTATAGCAAACCTGTTCGTCGGACATTGGAATTTTCTTTCCTCTCTTGGGGAGTAAGCAAACTACTGCGTATGAATTAATTATTGTCTCGAAGAATTAGTGGTTCTCTCCCAAATTAACACTTTTTATATCAATTGTGATTTGCGAATTTTAAAATTGATTAACGATAAATTTAAATCATTTATGTGGATAGTTAAATCATTTCTAACAATTCAAATTTGCATATTTTGCAACTATATTGAAAGTTCTATAAAGTAACAAAATTCAAATTAAAATATTCGGAGTAATAACAAATTCATACTAACTATACTTCCTCATTCCCTTAAAATTTGTCAAGTTTGACCGGCACGAGGATTAATAAAGTAAAAATTGTGTGGTTGATGTTTGTGCAGAGGAGAGAGAATTAACTAGAACCACAAATTCTTTACTTAATGGGGAAAATGACAAAATTAGTGAAACATTCAAAAAAGGAAAGTTGACAAAGTTTTGAGGGACGAAAAAGTATTAAATAAGTAGATAAGGTCAAATTGTATTGGCCAAAAAAACAAATGACTTTGCAAATCATTTTGGGACGAAAAAGGTAGTAATAGTAGCAATGTGCTTTAATACAGGGGTAAGATTGCGTACATCTGTTTCCTCTTATCCTACCGTAGGTGAGAGCCTTTGCGGCACTAGAATAATGATGATGATGAACAGTAGTACTTACTATGTATCTTTAAAGACAAGATCTAGGTTGAATCATAGTACAATTAAATCATTAAGTTTCTCACAACATCGAGCATAGGTAAAATTAGAGAGAAGCTAGAAAAATCAATTTTGGATCAAGAAAGAAAATACTGTGTATGTTATTGTATCAAGACCAGATCGGATGACTAAGACTGATATATATGGAAGAGAATAAAGTATTTGATGATCCTTAAGTTATGTGATAAAAGTTTGTGATAAAAGCTTGATAAGTTTAGATTAAAAAAAATAAGTGTGATATATGGACATTGCTATTTCAAGAGTGTGTTGTAAAAAATAACTTTGAACACTTATTTACTATTATACTTTTTGAAATAAAGAATTCTTGTCATTGACTCGGTTGATTACATTGTATTTGATTGATTTCACTCATTTTGAGGTATAACTTTTCCTGAATTCAGCCGATGCATTCACCTCAATTAAAATTTCATAAATTTCAAAAGATTTACTCGATTCAACCATTGTTTTCTAATTAATATTGAAACTGGATTTGGATGGGTATTAAATACTGACGCATTCTTGGTGTACATAAAATGTGTACACAAAATGTATATTATTTATGTAAACAAGCATTTTGGCATCAAATCATTCCCTTTTCAAATGAATTGCCTATGCACATAAGCAATTAGGGGGGTTTTGTGTACACTTTGTGTACAACTCATGTACACTAAGAATTTTTTTAAATGTTCGGTGTGTCTCTGAAAAACGAAGAAATATTAATTAATAAAAATAATTAATTAATTTAAATAGCTAAAGAAAAACAGAAATAAGATGGAACAGAGTTTAGCCAGAGCTCGTGCTACGCACGATGTCCTTAAAACGTATTCGCCGCCTCCCACGGTGCTAGGAGCGTTGCAACGACCGTTTCCTAGGATACGGTGGCTAACGAACTAACGTTTGAGTACACAAATGAGAGTTCCGGCGAACGGGAACAAAGGTAGAACATTCAGGAATTTTCGGAGTAGCTGGAAGTGTTTTAGAGCTCAAAAATACGTGAGGAATGTATTGTGTGTCGTGTCTTGTTGCAAAGCACCTGCCAGCTATTTATAGGAGGATTTGTTGTGTGTTAAATGTAGTGTTAATGGACCTGAACGTTAGACATCAATGACCAGTCCGTTGGACATTGAATCGTCCATAAACTGTCCATTTACCGCTGCATTAAAAGATAAGAACGTTGAGCATTAACTTTCGTAACGACAGACTAGCGTGACCGGAACACCCCAGGGCTTCTCTGGTCCGAAGCCAACAGAGATCCTCGCTCTCTGGTCCGGAGAAGTTCTGTGCATTTAAACCGTATCTTTGAATGATAGATTTTCGGACGACATTCGTGTCCGCAGGTCGCCCGCGCACACGAGTCGCGGTTTTTCTTCTCCGTTTCAGGATTTGATCGGCACCCCCCCTGCGGGTAAGAGAGAGCCTTTACCTTTAGGAATCTTAACTCCTTAAAAGAGGCTTCTCTTTATAAGGGGGTGAAAATCCCCTGAGTTTTCCGGCGTGGTATAAAACACACTAGAAACTCATCATTTTCTGAGTTTTTCCATTTCAACGAGTGAACTTCGAGAATCAAATCGAATTGAGCGTACCATATATCGAATTGTAGCCCTTAACAAGGACAATCCGAAACCACTTTGACCCGACCCAAATCGAAAGTGGACCCCATTCAAATAATTGCCCCCCAAATGACCATTTAATGCAATTTTTAACACATTTTTCCAACAATCCCCCACATGAATGAAAATTGGTTTTCGAGACTTAAAAAGACACGAAGATAGGAGGACACGTTGTGTTCACCGGATGATCCTTGCATACGGAGAGGTAGGTTTTATCCTTTGAACCTTCTGCTGTAAAGACACGTTTATTTACTGGCTGTCTAGTAAACTCGATGTCCTTGAACTATACTGCCGTCGTGTAATCATTGACTTATCTTTACACAAGAACCTTCCAACTTTCTTCCGTTTTCATCGGTGTGCCCGTTTTGGCCATGGGTCACCGTCCTGGTTCTGCAAGAGTTTCTAAAGAATTGAGCCTTTACAGCTCTCCTTTGAAGCAACCATCTTCTCTCTCACATAGGTGATTCTTTCACGAGTATCCCGCATACTCTTCCAATGTTATCGAGTAGATCAACATTTTAGAATCATTAAAGCAAACGTTTTTGCTAACCTCGTGCGGGAGTCACTGTTTTAACGAGGAGTGGGTAGGAGTCCGGGACCCCCACAGTGACCATCCTTCGCTCTATAGTTTAGTTGTCCCTTTTGAACCTAGGACCAACTAGGTTAGGTATCCACTATAGAACTTTTCAATTCACGGGCTTTAGTCCCATTCCTCGCGACAACTTCTCCAACAATTCTCTATCCAATGCCTTGGTTAGCGGATCCGCTATGTTATCCTTTGACTTCACGTAGTCAACAATGATAACACCCGTTGTGAGGAGTTGTTTAATGGTGTTATGTCTACGCTGAACGTGTCTAGACTTATCATTGTACATATTGCTCTGTACCCTTCCAATTGCCGCTTGACAATCGCAATGTATGCATATTGGAGGGACAGTTTTTTCCCAACTTGGAATATTCTCGAGAGAATGGCGTAGCCATTTAGCCTCTTCAGTGCACTTATCCAAGGCTATTAGCTCAGACTCCATCGTGGATCTAGCTATTAACGTTTGTTTTGAGGATTTCCATGACACGACTGCACCTCCCAAAGTGAAAACATATCCACTTGTGGAATTTGAGTCCTTAATGTTGGATATCCAACTAGCTTCGTTATACCCTTCAAGTACAACTGGATATCTTCCACAGTGCAGTCCAAGGTTTTGGGTTTTACGTAAATACCTCAAAACCCTTACAATTGCCTTCCAGTGTTCATCACCGGGGTTACTAATATATCTACTTAGCTTACTAACCACAAAGGCAGTATCAGGCCTGGTACAACTCATTAGATACATCAAGCTTCCAATAATCCTAGTGTATTCTACTTGGTAAGATGTATGTTTATAGCTAATGGAGTCCTTGCCTCTTGATAATCATCCTTATTAAATTTCGTAAGGATTTTATCAACGTAGTGGGATTGGCTTAGCGTAAGACCGTCTGGTCCCCTAATTATTTTAATCCCAAGGATTAAATCGGCCCGCCCCATATGCTTCATGTCAAATTTAGAATTTAACATGCTTTTGGTAGAATTAATCATTAGATGATTGCTACCCACGATGAGTATATCATCCACGTATAAACATAAAATGACATAGCCGTCTACTGTGCTCTTCACATAGACGCATTTGTCACTTTCGTTTATTTTAAAACCATTACTTAACATTGCATGATCGAACTTTTCGTGCCACTGTTTAGGGGCTTGTTTCAATCCATACAATGATTTAATTAATTTACACACTTTCCTTTCTTGGCCAAGAACACGAAAGCCCTCGGACTGTTCCATATAGATTTCTTCGTCTATATCGCCATTTAGAAAAGCGGTTTTTACATCTATTTGATGAACTTCTAATTTCCGCAATGCGGCAATTGCTAGTATCATCCTAATGGAATTTATTCTCGTCACAGGAGAATACATGTCAAAGTAATCATGGCCCTCGCGTTGTTTGTATCCTTTGATTACAAGTCTGGCCTTGTACTTATTGATGGAATCGTCAGGTTTCATTTTTCGTTTAAAAATCCACTTGGATCCCAAAGGTTTATTTCCCGGAGGAAGATGAACCAATTCCCATGTGTGATTTTTAAGGATAGAGTCCACCTCGCTTTTGATGGCTTCTTTCCACATAGGACCTTCGGTAGACGACACAGCTTCCGTATAAGTCCGTGGTTCATTTTCTACCAAACATGTTAGAAAATCTGGTTCATTTTCTACCATACATGTTAGAAAATCCGAGTCAAATTCTACCAAGTATGTGAGAAAATCCGGTCCGAAGGATTTTTCAACTCTAGCACGTTTGCTACGTCTGGGTTCAGTGATATGCACTAGTTTATAGTGCATAAATGTATGTTTTTGTATTGACCTTGTGTAGATTTTCTATCATCTTTAGTTAGTTTGTACACATTTGTTTTATGTTGTTTGTATTTGTTTTTAGCTTTCATGTGTTGTTGTAGAATAGTGGTAGTGTTTTTAGCAAAGAAAAGGAAAAAAAAGCTGAAGATAAAAATGTACAGGAGCACAAAACCCGGTCGGGTCTGAGTTGAGAACTGAATCCCTGAGGAAAGAGCTAGACCCGGTCAGGTCCCCTACTTGACCCGGTCGGGTCAGATGTGACCCGGAACACCAGAACGTGCCAAAGATCACCGGAATGAGAGAATATCTGATTTTTGACCAAACTCGGTCGGGTCCCCTACTTG